CTCGGAGCCGCCGAGCGCGGGGGTCCCCGCGGCCGCCGAGCGCGGCCTCGACGCCCTGCATCTTGGGGGCTCGGGGGGGCGGAGGCTGCTCGGCAGCCCCTTCAGCATGAAGGTCCTGGGCCTCCATCGGGAAGAGCTCCTCCATGCTGGCCCGCGTCTCTCCGAGGTCTGGCCTGCCTTCGAGCCTCACGATGTCCGAGAGGCGCGAGGAGCACGATCGCCAGCGACCACCGCTTCTCCGTGCCGTCGGCAGTGTCGCACCCGTCAGAAAAGACCAGGGTCCAGGTCACGCAGCTCCGCGATGCCTCTCATGACCTTCTCCACGGCCGCGTTCCAAGGCACCCTCTCTGAGCAGAGGCTCGACGGGCTTCCCCTCGACCGCCAAGTCGTACACTTGCGCCGCGCCAGAATCACTATCCGGGTGAAGCCACTTATGGGCCGAGGAGGAGGAGCAGCAGGAGGAGAAGGAGGAGCAGGAGGAGGAGGAGGAGGAGCAGGAGGAGGAGGAGGAGCAGGAGGAGGTGAGCTACGTGCGAGGAGGAGCAGGAGGAGGAGGAGGAGGAGGAGGAGGAGGAAGGAGGAGGAGGAGGAGGTGAGGATGAGTGAGGAGAGGAGGAGGGGAGGAGGAGGAGGAGGAGAGGAGGAGGAGGAGGAGGAGAGGAGGAGGAGGAGGTGGTAGGTGGAGGAAGGAGGAGGGCAGGAGCAGGGCAGAGCAGGAGGAGGGCAGGGTGGAGGAGGAGGAGGAGGAGGAGAAGGTGGAGCAGGAGCAGGAGGAGGAGGAGGAGGAGGAGACCTGCCTGTCGCTGGCATGCCAGCCCCCTCTTCCTTTTGCTCTTCGTCCTCGTTCGCCTCCTCGGCGTCGTTCTCCTCCTCGTCGTCTTTCTCCTCGTCATCGTCCTCGTCGGCCTCCATCTGTTCCTCCTCCTCCGGGGGCAGCCGCCAGAGCCCGACGAGGGCCTCGGACCGGCGGCATCGCTGTCCCAGTCGGCCTCTCCTGCTCCTCCGCTTTCTCGTCCCTCCGTCTTCCCTCTGCCTGCCTGCCTCCTCCTCCTCGTCCCTCCTCCTCCTCCTCCTCCTCCTCCTCCTCCTCCTCATCGTCTCTTCTCCCTCCCGCCTCCTCCCTCCTCCCTTCTTCGACCCGCCTTCTCCACCTCGGTCTCCTCCTCTGACTCCTCCCCCCCCTCCCTCGCTCCTCTCGCCCTCCTTCCTCACTCCCTCCGTCTCTGCATCCCTCCCTCCTTCCCTCCCTCCCTCCGTCTCTCCTCCCTCCCTTCATCTTTCCTCCATCCTTCCTTCACGATTACTCCATATAAGCATTATTGCGAAGGCCTCACGGCGGGTGCCGCCGACCCTGAGTTTGGGGTGGAGGGCGCGGAGCATGGGGAGGAAGATGAAGAGGGGGAAAGAGGAAGAGGCGGATGAGGAGGAGTAGGAGCACAGGGGGGGAGTGAATAGGAGGAGAGTGAAGCGAGTAGGGTCGCGGGGGGGGGGGCACGAAAGAAGGGCAGGGGCGAGTAGAGCGTGCCGATCATGAGGAGGAGAAGTTGGGAGATAATGGCGAGGATGTTGACGATGTTGACGACGACGCCGGTTGCTTATCAGGACCATTCGGGGCGTCTTGGAGCCCTCCTGGGGCGACTTCCAGGCTTCGTTCGCTGTTTTCAAGCTAGGTTCGGCATCTTGGGCACCTGGGAGGCCACGACGGAGGTGTAGTAAGATTTGGAGGGCGCTGGGGCCGGGACCTGGGCCAGGGCCAGGGCCGGAGCGGGCCGGGAGCCAGGGCCAGGGCCGGGGCCAGGGCCGGGTCCGAGGCTGGGCCGCGGGGCCAGGGCCGGGGCCGGGCCGGGGCCGGCCGGGGCCGGGGCCGGGGCCGGGGCCAGGGCCGGGCCGAGGCCGGATCTGGGTCCGGGGCCGGAGCTGGCGGGGCGGAGCCGGGGCTGGCCAGGACCGGGGCCAGGGCCTTCGGGCCGAGGCCGGGGCCGGGGCCGGGCCGGGAGCCAGGGCTAGGGCTGGGGCCAGGGCTGGGGCCGACGCTGGGACTGGGGCCGCGGAGCCGGGGCAGGGGCTGGACTCGGGCCGGGGCTGGGGCCGGGACCGGCCGAGGCCGAGGCCAGGGCCGGAAACGGAGCCGGGGCTGGGGCTGGACTGGGGCCGGGGCCAGGGCTGGGGCGTGGCAGAACGTTCCGGCTCTCATGAGGCTTTGTGCATGTGGGCCCCGGGGCCCCCAGGGGGGGAGTCGCATAGGCGGGGCCCCCCCCGGGGCCCTCCCCCCGGCAGGGGAGGGATCAAAGGGAAGGAAGGGGCTTCCCTTCGAGTCAATGACCAATGGCAGCGTTGCTCTTGAGGGGGAGGCCCTGTAAAAGCGGGGGGGGGGAGCGGCGACGGGCCCAGGGAAGAGGGGGAAAGGGGAGGGGAGACGGGCCCAGGGAAAGGGGGACGCAGGGACAGGAGACGACAGGGCCAGGGAAAGGGTGGGCGCAGGGACAAGAGATGACGGAGACGACGACGAACGAACGACGGGAGCGGACAAGCCCCTCACACACGCCGACACAGGGTCGGCGGATTCCCCTCTCTCCCCTGAAAGCGTCCTTGTAGTATCCCGCCCACTTCGTGCAATGGTGTTGTTTGCCCACAGCGAGTGTTTTTTTTTTTGCGTGTGCTGTGCGATCGTCCGCCAGCGCAGTCATTTTGTCTAGCCGCCGACGCAACAAGTGAAAAAGTGTGTGCGTGTGTGTGTGTGTGTGTGTGTGTGTGGGTGGGTGTGTACGGGGCCGGCCGCGCCATGCGCTCCGGGCGCGACCCGTCCCCCTGAGCGGCCCTCGCTCCTCTTCCCCCCTCCTTCGGCCGCTTCTTTTGTTTTTCTTTGCATTGTGGCACAGTTCGCTACAAAGGTGCCCCCGTTTAGTGAGCTCTTCCGCCAACGCATTTACTCTGCCTAGCCGCCGACGCAACAAAGTTTTGTCCCGTCGCTCATAACGGCGTTCTCGCCCCAGCGCGGGCCATATTTCTAGATTCGACAGGCGTCGGAAACAACTAGCGAACACTCGTGCCACCTCATACTCCCCCTCTCCCCAGTGGTCAACGTTGGCGGGGGATCTGATTTACACTTCGCCGCGGTCGTCCCCCGACGTGCCAACTGAATTTCCGGGGCAAGGGGGGGTGTTCCTGAATTCTTTTTGCCTGCCGGAGTGTTCCCTCGTTTTTGTCATCCCCTCCCGTTCCCCTCTCCCACCTTCCGCTGGTCCTCCTGGTCCTCCTGATCTTCCTGCTCCTGCTGCCGATGTTTCCTCTTTACCTCATCCTGACTCGTCCTCCTCATTTCCCTTCTGCTTACCCTCCTGCTCATCCGCCACCTCCCCCTCCAACGTGCACAGCTCCCCTTTCCAGATCGTGCGTAACACGACGGGGTCCTTTTTGGGGTTCCTAGGTCCACTCTGTGACACCCGTCGGCGGAGTGGAAGGGATGGGTGGGAGGGGTAGGATGGTAGATATGGCCCGAGCGCACCTGGCTTGTCTCCCTCCCCTCTCTCCTCTCCCTTTTCCCTCCCTCCAGCCCTCCTCCGCCTCTTCTGCCTCCTCCCTCCGTGATCGCCTCCTGCCGCCTCCCCTCCCCTTCTCCCGGCTTACCGCTCACTCCTGTTCGTCCCGCCTTCCTCATCGCTGCCGTGGTCGCTGCCGCCCTCGTCGTGCGCGAGAGGCGGCGCGCCCGGGGCGCGAAGTCCACATGGCCCCCGGGCCCTCTGGAGCGGCACGGAGTCGGCCCGCACCCTGCGGGGGCGTCCAGCATGGCAGGGCTCATTGCGACTGTCGGCAAGAGCACGATACGAACATCACGAGTGTTATCAGCAGCCAGGAGCCTTTCCCCTGGCACTGGGTGGAAAGGCGGTTTCATGCAGAGCGCCTGACGTAGACTAACCTGTATACTTCAACGACGAACCGCCCGTTTTCTATTATTTGGCATGCGCGCTCGGTTGCCATAGGCCCCTCGACCGGACTTGACTTGACTTGCCGACTCCATTCGCTTCGATTTCGATCCTGCTTCCGATTCCGATTTGGACTTCGACTTCTCAATCCGACCTGGATTGTTGGATTCTCAAGGGGGGCCTAACTCGCCTGCCGATTCCCACCGATTCGACTCCTCCCGGTCTTGGCTGTCCATTTCCGACGGTCCGGTGCATGTCGATCGCCGATTCGACTCGTCGGTTCGATTCCGGGCTTGCCTGCGGAGTCGGCCCGCGCCCTTCGGGGGCGGCCGAGAGAGGGGTGACGACCAGGGGGGGGGGGGAGGTCATGGGCAGGGCCAGGACCTCTCCCCAGCTTCCATGGCGCCTCTCCTTCTCTTGGTGCGTCCCCTGGCGCCCCCCTCGGAGGCCACGGTCCTCGTGAGGGGTGTCGAAAAATGGCCCTCCCCTGGAGTGCTCTGGGGGCTTCTCCAGATTTCATGGCGCCTCTCCTTATTTCACTGCGTCCCCGGCCCTCCCCCTGGGCGGCGCACGTGCCCTGGAGCCATGACTGGCGAGCTCCCCAATTGGACGCCCCCTCGTGGGACGCCCCCAAACTCGGGGGTGGACAGAACCCCCAACAGTGACACGTCGATTAGTGAATTGTCCGTTTTCGGTTCTCGAGAGGGCGCCGTGGCCGTTATTTTCTAGGCTTGCGTCCGCCAGGTTTGGGCCTCAGGGGTCGTTTTCACTAAACCACGTTTTACTAAAGGGGGGTCTTTCCATCCCCGACAAACCCTCCCGGCAGCGCCGAGGTGCACGTGCGCCGCCAGAGGCGAAAGAGTACGCGGCGGCGCTGGAGGTCTGCGTCTCGGGCGGGCGGCCACGGGTTGGGGGGCAGCAGGCGTGGGGACCGTGCGCGGGCTACTCGAAGTGTGCCAGAAGTGTGACATCAACGCGCAGCGGAAGTACGAGTGTGAGTCAGAGGAAACAGTGAACTAGGAACAAATGATAATACGCAGGAATAGGTTTTCCAAACTTCCGATTTGTTTCAAACTT